GAAAACCCTCAGTGTCTAAATGCATTTAAAATTGAGGGTAGGGCACCAGCGCCAGAGGTGGGTTGGAGTACACCGACCATCCTCTGGATGCTGTAAAACGTGCCCACCCCCAAGGCCCTATATGTACGTGTTATGTGAGAGCGTGAGTAATGTGGATGTCTAGGTTGCAGAATAAAATTGAGGCACAGGCGGCCAGAAGGGGACAGGGGGGGAGTGCCTCCCCTGCACCCTGGTGACATATCTGCACCCCAAGCCCTGCGTGTGTGGGTGGGTGTGGTAGAGCGGGAATACGGAGGCAGCTGAGGGTGGGGAGGGAAGAAAGGGAGGGGCAAGCGGCCCTCATCCACTCTAATCCATCCGTTTTAGGGTGGAGCCATTAGTTATCAACCCTGAGGCAAAGGCTTAGTCACTAAAGAAGTTAAAGAACCATGTGAAGCAGAGCAGATGAGAAACATCCACAACACTATTTCAGTCTCTTAATCACAAAGAGGAGGTCCACCAAATCATCAAGCACTTGAAGCATTATTCAAAGCAGACACTTTAAAATCAACTTGCCACTCCACAGACCTGTACATGAAGCAAACTGGTAAAAGCTGTTTTATATTAAAGTTTGTGAATTCATACAGACGCTCCCTACGCTGACTCAGCACGGAGCATCGTGTACCCTAATTTCACGAGAATACATTTGCAGTCTGTCACATGAGTGTAGTGGGAGCCATCCTGAATGCCACCAGTCACATTAATGTGGCCTCTTTGCAATGTCCACTGGCATTTTTTTAGTGTGCTACTAAAAAGCAGGAAAAGCATCCATGAAATATGTGAAAAATCACTTTGTGAAAAACAATTTTGTTTTTCTGCCAACTTTACTGTTGCTCCCTCGTTCTTCCTGTATAATCTCTGTCTCTGTGCCATCACCCAAAAGTTAAATGTTACAGTAAATAAAAGACAAACTGATCCATATCAGTTTATAGCAATGCTCAAACTGAATGCATCCTACTGCTGACATAGAAACCATTTGACCTGCTGTCACCTGGATCTGGGCCCTGTGCTTCGTACGTCGCTTACTACATCCAAGATCAAATGACACATCCAAGATCAAACCATCACGCTAACCGTGAGCTCGCTAATCCGGTTCCCCGAACACACCTGCTGTTGACGATTAGTATAGCTGGACGCAGTAATGTGACATCACTGGGTGTCGTAAAAGGGGCTACGCATCGATAGTAGAAACATTGATCGGCAACCCTCTGATTGGTCGGCGAAAATGTCGACGGAGCGTGCTTGGCTCGGTATTTTTCGGCAGCAGAGCAAGAACTCTTGATTGAGGGATTTCAGGAGTTTCAGAGTTTAATCAGAACGCAAGGGAACACTGCAAAGGCTGCAAAAGCAAGGAGAGAGGGCTGGCAGGAAGTTGCTGACGAATCAAACTCGTAAGTAATTTAATAATAACAATAATAATGGAGTGGATTGATATAGCGCTTTTCAAGGCACCCAAAGCGCTTTACAATGCCACTATTCAGTCACTCTCACATTCACAC